ACAACAGTCATAACTATTCATGAAGGCTTATTCATGTTCATGACAGGTGTTATGACATGTTTATGACAGTGTCATAACAGTCTTATTCACCCCCCTTCAAATAAAGTGTTACCCTTTTTTCTTATGGCCAATCTGCTGTTCATCAGCAGCTTTACAGACTGTAGAAAACTTTGGTCTGTAGAGCAGATCCCGGTCCATTCGGAGGCTGCAGCCCCGATCATAATACCTCCACCACTGTGCTGTTTCTGCTTTTCTCCATCTTGTCCAATGTTTCCTCTCTGGTCTCGTCTGTCCAGAGGACACTGTCTCAGAAGCCTCGTCTCTGCTAACCTCAGTGCAGTGGCCAACTTGTGCCTAGACAGAAGAGGCTTTCAGTGTAACATGACCTTTGACCTTTAACCTGCTAACTGAGGGCTATAGAGGTTTTGGTTTCTGGTCATTTCTCTGAGCTTCATGCTCTGACCTCTGACCTCTGAACCTGCTGGGATGTCTGAGAGTTTCCCTCTTTGGAGGATGATGGACTCAAAGTAGTTCAGAAATGACCTTTGACCCTTCCCAGGCTGATGAGCAGCAGAAGTTGCTGACATTGTGTTGTAGCACCTGCAACCTGTAGAGCAGCAAAACTGGTTTAGTAGAGACGCATTGACGATCGGTTCGTTGACGATCTGATCAGCTGCTCCTCTTTGCTCCCCCTCTCTGCTTCGGTGGAAGCAGCAGAGTGAACTGGGCTGTACTGGTTGGTTACTGGGAGATGAACTGGTTGAGGTAAGCTCAGTCTTCAGTGACTCTCCTCTGCCTGTTGCTGAATAGCAACAGGAACTGTTTTGCAGGAGTGTTTGTGTTTCTGTGTCTGCAGAGGATCAAACATCTGGACGGTGAAGTGTTCAGAAGCTGCAGTCCGACCCCGGGCCACAGGAAGTCCAACATCATCGTCACCAACAGGTGGAGCCGCCCGAACGGCCAGCAGCACACAGAGCCTAGCTTGGTAGCGCTGTGTGACGCAGTTCCGCTTGTCATTGTTTAGGCGCGTCTTCTGTGTGAAGGAGATCGATTTGCTGGGTCACCTCACTACTGACTGGGAATGCTGGTTTGAGAACTTCCACCGTCCTCCGGCGGTTTCTGGATCAGAGCTCAAGATTTACTGCAAGGTAACGGTGCTGCTGGCATGTTGTTGCTAAACCTCACCTCTCCACTGAACTTCATGTCTGTGCCTCTTAAGCTTGGAGTCTGAGCTGGTTGAACTTACAGATGGTTGAACATTGCAGCTTCTGTTTAGCTTCAGGGATCAGGGTTCTCAGCTGTCCAGCCCTGAAGGTCGTCTGTTCTGTTAGGAGGCCAAAGATGCAAGATCAACATAAGTTTGATCTCACAGCATCTCCAGCAGATGTGCAGCGTGACGGAATCGATGGAATCTGTAAATCTTTCACTGTGGTAGGGATTGCCCGTGTTGATGCTTGATTCTGTGTTTCTCTCATCTTGTCAAAGTGAAAAGCTGAGACTGTTTGGTCGCGGCCGTCCTCTCTTGGACGTGGCCCCCTGGTTGGGTCCTCCTTCTGTCCATTTGTGAAAAATCTGGGTGTGATTGTTGATCCTGTGTTAAATTTGATTAGCATGTTAGCGCTGCTATCAAAGCCAGTTTCTTTCAGCTGAGGACCTTTGCTAAGATGAAATCTGATTTTGCCGTTTAGATGATTGGAACTGTTTGTTCTGAGGCTTTTAGCAGAGCAAACGAAGTGCTGCAGCTCGTCTGCTGAGCAAAACTAGGAGGCGTGAATCTGTGGCCCCGGTTCCCCTTCACTGGCCCCCTGCTGCCTTGGGATCACATTTAAGGTTTCATTGATGGTTCTTAAGTGTTTTGGGTCGTTCGTACTGAAGTGAGCTCTAGCAGCCCTACAGCCACCCGGAGCCCTGAGGTCGGCTGCAGCTTTTACCGTCCGTCCCTAAAGCAGACGGAGCCTCCTGTGGATCGTCTCCCTCTGGCTGCTGAACTCCAGACTGAAACTCGTCTTTCCTCCTTCAACTCCGGCTGAAGAGAAAAGGAGGAAGGACATCGCTGCAGCTAAAACTCAATATTGTTTGGTTTTCATTCATGCCATTAGCTTTTGGAATCTTTGCCAATGTTATAATCTTATTATTCTTTTTGCTAAACTTAATTTTCTATTTTATCGTTAATCTACCTGTGATGTGTTTGTTGTGAAGAACTGAGGCTGCTGGAAATGTGCTACAGAAATAAACTTTAACTTCACTTATTATTATTAGCTCCATGTATGTTAATTGTGCAACAGAGAAGAGAAACGTCCAAATATTTAAGAAACACTGAGGTTAGATACAGACACAGTGACATCACTTCCTGTCTGGAGGTTCCATTCCCTGATTGGTTCCTGTCTCTCTTGTTTCTTTCAGGAGATCCATAAACTGATGCTTCCTAAAAACCAGGAGCCCGTCAGAACGATCCGGTTCAAAGACCCAAATTCTGCCCAGGTCAGTTTAATCCCAGAGGAAAAATCTTTAACTTTAAAACATCCATCAGTTCTGATCCATTTACCAAGAGATGATTCACAAGACAGTTTAGTAAAAGATTCAAACAATCACAGCAGGAACAAATTTATCTACAGAAACAGGGTTATCAGAGATTCAAAGTTAGTAACATATGTTCATAGAACAATGAAGAATCTAGTTCAGTTTAACATTACATGCACATGGTGACAGTGGACAGGAAAACTCGCCTTTAACAGCAAGAAACCTCCAGTAGAACCAGAACCGGAACCAGAACCTGACTGAAGCAGCAGTCTGCCGACTGAAGGTTTGAGAAAACCCAGCAGACAGAAAAGGAAACATCGCTGACTCAGGAGTACTTTCTACATAGAGGAAAAGCAGAGCAGCAGCCATGAGGAGACATTAAGACACAAAATCTTACCAAGTATTATTGGTCTAGTTTTTAGTCCAAATGAAATAAGACAAAACTAACTTACAAGTAACTTTTCAGCAAGATGTTTCTGTAATATTGATGAAAACGTTCCAGTTTTTCATCTGCATAGTTTTTGAGAGTTGAGGTCAGATGCATCATCTAGAGAAGGAAAACGTTCAGGTGCCAGATCTGAACAGAACACCAGACCAGGTGTACCTTCTATGGAAAGAAAAAAAGACAACCTGAAAATAAAAGTTAAAATAACATCAAATAACACAAAATTCTAGAGGAGTACGAGAAAGTAGTAGAGTGCAGCGGGCTGTAACAGCGTGACTACAGAGGTAGCTCAGGATGACCTCAGCTTCATCAGAGACGAAGGTTTAAGCCTCGTCTAGAAAGTATTCAGGCTCTCTGGACCGAACCGTGTGGTTCTCCACTAGGACAGAGCTCTTCAAGCCTTTCTAAGGTAATACTGATGTCAACTGGATCAGAACAAGCACTAAGATCAAACAGAACCAGAACCGGTCCTTTACCTGAGGCCAAGAGAAAATCATCAGGGACTTTCAACAGTTTATTACTCTTTATATGCTCACATAATTCATTAGCAGCCATTTCCTCAAGGATTTTAGATCAGACAGAAAGATTAGACATAGATCTGGAATTTATAAGGTAACCAGATTAGATGTAATTTATTAAGTCGTTTCTGAATGAAGGGTTTAAATTCACAACGCACATTTAGTTTAATTTCTGAAAAAAGTTTTCCTTCCAGTTCCATTATTTGCCTTTTTTTATTTTTTACATCAAATCTCAATAAAGTTTGTGAATGAAAGAGAGAAAGGTGCAGTCCTCAGAGGGGTTGCCATGGAGACAGATCAGGAAGTGTGTGTCAGTGTGATGTCTGGTCTCTCACCAACAGAAGCTGCATGAAGCCATCTGGGACGCTCAGGACGCCCAGAAGCAGCACCACATGGTCAGGCAAAAGTCCCAGCGCTTCCTGAGACTCGGCAAGAAGCAGTGATGTCACTTCCTGTCTGTGGCTCTCCTACGGAGCATGGTTACTGACATTATTGTAAACTGAGCAGTTTTTTTCAGAATAAAAGCAGAAAAAGTTGGGTGAAGTTTTCTGTTGCTGAACATTTTAATTGTTCCTTACATTCTTAGTTAAAGTTTATTGAACAATTATGTTGAAGTAAATGATAATGTAAATGTTTTCAGTGATTTGGGTGGGATATATTTTATTTGTAGTTTGTGGGTTACTTTTCCCTGCTTTGTGCCTGCAGGTTTCAGTTCTTTATGCCTTAAAATGAATCCATCAAAGCGCTTTGCACCAAGATATTTGCATCACCACTGCAATAACTGATGCTTACTTTCTCATTTTTATTGAAATAAACATAAATGTAGAAAACTTTTCCACAAATTTTTAAAACAAGGATTGAATAAACTTGAAAATGATTTGTGAATGCGAGTGTCCAGAGTTTTTGACATCCTTTCTTTGAGCAGTGATGTTCTTTCCTGCAGTGGCCTGAACGTCCTCAGGTTAAAGCATTTTGGGGTCTGTTTGTTTCTGAATCATAATAATTAGACTAGTTAGAAATAAGTAGAATATGCCAACTTGTTGTAAAAGTGCTTCTCATAAATCATGAAAATACACTTAAAAATAAACATTAAATCAGGCTTTTTAATGTTTTTTAGTCATTCTTTAAACTTTGCATATAGTCCAACAAATATTAGTTTAATATTTTTGCTGCTGTTATTATAAAAAAAATCATAATGTGTCGCATTACAGAGTTGAACCCATTGTAAAAATTGATCAGACTGTTGAACAGTCTGGCTGACTTAACAACAGTCTAATGTACCAAAACCGTTGTTTTTGGTTAAAGTATAAAAACACTACTTGAGCTGTTTTTGTTCAGCTGCGGGCTTCAACTGTTTTGTTGAACGTTACGAGGTAAGAAACTTTCCTAACACTTAAATCTGTTTACAGTGTGAGCAGGAAGAGACTTTCTTTAGTGACGTCACTTCCAGGGTGCAGATTTAGAAAAAGGAGGGACTGGTTGAACAAAACTAAAGGGCCAGGATTAAAAAGGGCTATTTTATAAAGTGTGTATTTTTCTCGTATTTCTTTTATTTGGGTTAAAGTAGACCTAAAAGTGTTTATATTAGCAAAAATAACTTGCAGTTATTGACTATTTTTATTTGTTTTATATTCAGTGAAAACTTAACATTGGTCAGTGGGAACATGTTCATTTGGCTGATCTCTGCGCTTCAACAAGCCATAACATTTTTCAAACATGATTTTTAAAATCTATTTGCATGTTACATTACCAAGACATGGATATTTACATTTCTTGATTTTCTCCAAAAATGTGGTTTGCATTACATGAAAATCTTTGAGATCAACCTGTGGGACACAAAATGCACCGAGTTCAGAGAATGACCCGGTCAGTCAGGCACAACAAACAGACGAATTCTGTTTCACTTTAAGGTAGGGTCAGTTTATTTATTTAGCACATTTTCAGCAACAAGGCAGTTCAAAGTGCTTTACATGAATTTGAAGGACATAAAACAATAAACCAAAGGAAAGAGAAAAAAGAAAAATAGTATAAATTAGATGTCGCTAAATGTTGATCTAGAGTTGCGTTTCTCCACGGGGCGGTAGCGCCCCCCAGGGGGCGTTCAGAGGACGGCAGGGGGCGCTGGCAGAAATTATTACAAAAGGGGAGAGTTTGCTTGAAGGTAAATTTTACACCTTATATTGCACAACAATACCAGTTTAGACTTTGAGCTACTTGCTAAAGGGTTAGGGTTAGACCTTATATTTGTAACATTAAATCATGCCTGGCAGCAACTGTATCCATGGCAGCTCTTCTTCTTCTTCTTTTTCTATTCAGTGTTTGTAGCTTCTCTCCTGCTACTAGTAGCTTCACCGCATCAGTTCAGCGTCTCACCGACTGATGACGTTGCTG